CTTCTATCGAGGATTTGTAATAATTCTCTCTCTCTCTCTCTCTCTCTCTCTCTCTTCACCCCTTCTTTTCTTTTTTCACCGCAGTCGCATTTCACTTTTCCGCGTGTTCTCTCAAAAGATTTCGCCTAGGTGTTGGAGGGAATAGATTTAGAGAAAGATTCTTCCAAATTATACAGATATAAGTTACTTTAATAAAATACGATTGTATTAATTTGCCTTTGTAAATAGCAATATTGAACAATATATAAATATTCGAAAGAAAAATTTATTATTCATCTCGTTTCATACGTTTTCCTTCACGCTTAATGATAAATAGGATTACGGAGCGTAAACGTTGGCCCGCTATCTGCCCATTGATCGGCACGATTTCTTCCCCGATTACGCGAGAATTTTCATTAAATTCTTGCGCTTCGTAACAGCCATACTTGAACGAGCGGCTCGCGAAGTAGAGCGTAAATGAAATCCACGCGGAGTCACCAGCTGAATCAAGGAGGGAGGTGGAAGGTAAAAAGGAAGCGGTGGGAGGATCTCCTTAATTAAGATTGTCACCTTCGTCCACACGGAAGCTTGTATTGAATTGGCCTTGTTACCTTTCTCCTCCTCCTCCTCCTCCTCCTCCAGCATCCAGGAAAAAGCGGCTGAATAATGACTATGCATAAGGACGCGCAAAGGATTTCATATAAATGATAATGTTCCCCGGTCTGCTCCTTCCGTCTCCGGTTACCGGCCAGGACGGGCTCAAAGGAATTACAAATTCGACCAAGGGGGGGGAGACGCGCCCAAAATTGGTCGCATGAAAAATACATTTAAAAATATACTCCAAGTTCTCGCTTCCCTCCTCCCTCCTTCCCTCGATATCTCTGATATTGACGATAAACCCTTGGCCCTTCCCTTTGACCTCTCTCTCATCCCACCACGTGGGATTCGCGGGATGAAAATAGGGCCGATCCTTTCGCACTTGCGCAACGTATCAACTTTCGGTCCTTCGTGTTAAATTTATCAACGTTACGATGCACTCTCTTTCTCTCTCTCTCTTTCTCTTCGTCTCCGTTGATCCATAATAACGAAAATCTCGGCTCATAATGGAGGGAAGAGTGTTTCGAATTTTCAGAATTCTCGCGTTGAACCCAATTACCAAGCGAATACGTAAAGGAATCCTGTGGAAGGAATCTCGTGCTGTTCCATCCTGCTCCTCCACGAGGAGCTGCCGCTCCCTCGTTTTACGTGTGTAACCAAAACTTGGTAATTCGAGTAAATTTTGGTGGACGGTTTGTGCATGGTGCATGGGTTTGCGCGACGACACCGAGCCCCACCCTCCGCCACCCACCCGCTTGACAATATAACAACTTAATTCGGTCGCATATTCAGGGGAAACCGAGCGGACGATTCCCATGAGGCGATCATACTGGAGGGAGGGAGGGAGGGGGAGGTGGATTTAATGAAAACGAATAGCAGTTTCCTCGGGGTTGGCGGGCTACATCGTAATGATTCAAAATGTAGGCCACACGTTGCTCGCATCGTATCGAGCACACCCCCCCTCCCCCCCAACGAACAAACCCTCGACTCGTCTGTATTTCGTGGCACGAAACAATTACAACGCTCCCCTGTAATTGAAACGAACAGTATTTTCCTCCAACTCGCCAACTTGCCCGTAGTACGAATGCACCGAAGCATTTCTAACGAGGCTTTTTTAAACTTTCCAAGATAGAATTCCAACCGATAGAATCCTATCCTTTCTCTCCCGAAACAAGACCACCCCTCCTCTCTCTCTCTCTCTCATTCTACGCATCGAGCTCTCAATTTCTATCCCTTTTTCTTCCCCTCCCTTCCTTTCTTTTTCATTTATCTACCTTTTCATCGATTCTCGAACGGTGACGAGGACGGTATTTTTTTCCAGCGAATCCTCGAATCGAGAGAATCGACATAAATTACGCATTAAACGGGGGGTATTTTTTTTTCTTTTCCACGGAAGGAGGAAACTCGATACACTCGAGACTTTAACGACCTCCTTGGTCGCCAGTTAGAGAAATGCGAGGACGGGACGCGACAACAAATCACATTCAGAAGTACACTCGTCCTCTCTTTGTGCAGCAAGGGGGGGAGGTCTGCGTTTGATGTGTCGCGGCGCAAATGTGCGCGCGTGGGAAGAGGTAGGTAGAGGTTGCTGCTTGCTTGCGCGACAACTCATCGAGGGAAAGGAAAGTCCTCTCGCGGGTAGGGTACGAGGAGATGGCGGGAAAAATATTTTTTCTTCGCGCAGCCCACGGTCTGTCGATAACAGGCATATTCGAGCGAGGAGGGTTTCGAGTAGTGAGCCATACCCACCCCGTCTGGGATCTATGGAGGCTAAATCGAGCCGTGACAGCTTGAGAGCGCGCGGTTTTTACTCTGTTGCGCGTATTTACATACTTCTCCATACGACGGGGGCATAATGGCGTGACGGGTATAACGGGGGGAGAAGTTAAAAGAAGCTGCGCGATAATATTTCGTTCGTTACTACGTCCATTACTTCGCCGACACACACACACACGCTTAAAAAAACGTGGTGAAAATTCTTTGAATCGCGACCCCCTTCACCGCTGCAAGGATACGAAGGATCCACTCTCGGCACAATTTTCTACGATACACGTTTTACAGGAATAAATCGCGTTTAAACTTCCCTCTGAAGCGCCCCCGCTTTAAACTTTGTTGTAACTGCGCTTGCTTAGTTTTCTAAGGGAACACGGGAATACGTCATGACTATCGTCTCGATCGCTTTCTATTCGAAATTGTATTGAAAATTCATTCTCAAATTCAACAAATAAAATACACCTTAAGTCCTTAATCCCATTTAAATCCTTCACACTTCTAATTATCTTCCTTGACGAAAAATAATGTTATTAAAAATTACTTCGATCCGAAAGGAGCATAATCGATATGTCTTTTAGACGTATATATATAATACACACATTTATGAAAGCATTCGGACGACGAATATTTATCACATTTATATCGGTCGGATTTATTATCGCTTTCGAATCATATCGAAAAATAATTTTCGTTAATTTACGAAGGATTAATCTTTCAGCCCCGCTTCAGACTGTCGGCAGATCGATGACGTCGCCGTCGGAATGGTTCCCCCCTCCCCGTACGGGGATGCGTTTTGCAAATTTAATCGCGGGTCCAACCGCTTGCCCCATCGATTTTTCGTTAACGATTTTGCCCAGTATTTAGCGGCGACCGCAGACCGAGCAGCAAAAACCTTTGACCGAGCATCTCTGCGCCTCTGGAATTCCGTGATAAATAAGGGTGAAAGAACGGAATAAAAATTCGTTACCGCCGACGAGATTCCTCCGTGTGCCACCGCCCTTGGATCTGGCATCGCGTCTAATGGAAACATCGCGCGAGTGAAAATATATACCACGACTCGTATCGTTCGCGTAATCACCTTGGTGGAAGTAGATACCCTCTCTCGACAACGATACAACGATATAAATCAACAGGGAGGAGAACATGAATGCAAAGAGGTCATCCGTATCCGATGCAGCAGCTATTTCCATACGCCGAATGCGTCTCTCGCGTAGGATCGAGGCTCTTTGAATTTTTAAATTTTTTATTCTTTTTCATTTTTTTTATCTTTTTTTTTTTTGTCCCCCATTTATTTTTATTCCCCTCGCGTGCACACACGTTTACAATGACACGTCCGCTCGGAATTCGGACGTTTATACGTTGGATTCGACGATCAAAGGCGAGAAAGTTGGTCGTGAAATTGTAAACAGGATATCTCTTCGATCGATCAAACATCCCACTCCCTCCTCCTCCAATAACAATATCGAAATTCATCGAACGGATTAATTATTTCGTTACACGGGATAAGCACGTGAAAACTAATTTCGGTAATACCGGATTTACCTGCTTGTTAGTCGAATTTACCGGCAGATTATTAGTTTAATTCGACTCCCGTTGAATTACGCACGGGGTCCAGTTCCGAAATCGAATCGAAAGTTGGGCCAAAAAGCTCGGTCGGCCGGCCGTGCAAATATGCCGAGTCTGGCCAAAGAACCGAGTCGACGAGTCGATATATCCCCCGTTAAAGTTATCGTGTACACACAGATCGGTGGACAAAGTGGTGGAGTTAACAGAGAAACAGTCACTCCGTGAAACAACTCCGACACATTCGCTGAAAAAATTCGAAACTACCGAAATATTCGATTATTTCCCTGCGATACATTCTCGTGCGGATTATCCCCGTTACGTTCCACAGCGAGATGTGAAAAAAAAAAAAAAGAAGCACTCTCTTTGACGATGCATCGATAGAAAAAATCGATTAATATCACGCGATATAAAGAATCAGAGTTCGAGTGTCGCGAAGTAGAAGCGAAACAGATTCGTGGAAATTATATATTTAATCAAAATATAAATACGCATCGTCGGAGAGGAGAGATAGACGGACAGGCTTCAGACAAAATCAACGAATTGTTGTTTCCTGCAAGGTTATTATTATTCTCGTTGCGTCGCTCGATACTCGACGAGAGCAGAGAGAGAGAGAGAGGAGGGAGAAAGTATACTCGCGCGGGAAGCAGCAAGCTCCATTTTTGTTTCGTCTCGATCGAGCGACGCATCGACCGCCTTCCAGCAACGTGCGATGTCGATAGCAGAGTTTCCATAGGTGGAATTATTTCCGGTTAATATTCAACCGGGTCGGTAGGAGCAGGTAGATATAATTAAAAACCCCGCCATCCTGCGGGGACCGCCTTCCACCGCGAAATTGCATGTAAAATTGGACCGAACACGCACACGTGCGCGAGTGTCCGTGTCCGCGCGTGTATCGCGATACCGCAAAACCTCAGCGCGAGGCTGGCCGTAGGTAATTTTCCAGAGGGGGGCGAGCGTCCTGCTCCCTCCTCCCTGGCTGCCACTCCGACCTCACCCACACGTTCTCCACCCACACACCTGTGGCCCCTATTCGGCTGTTGGAATCAAAGCGCGGAAAAGAAAATCCCGAAATCCCGTGCGTGTCAACTGCACGCTTTCTAGTTTTACCGCCGCTAAACACACCGAAACACGCCCTCCTTCCCCCCCGCAAAAGGCGTACGAATGCGTTTGACTCGGGACGTGTTTAACGTATGGTAACGCGACACGCTGTTTACCGTCAACCTCCAATTTCCAAATCGATTTTAATCGCGTTTTATACAACGTGTGTGTCGATTGAGAAACCATCGCTCGATGGTTTAATGAGGATCGAAATGGGAATGGGTTCAAGTTCAAGTTGAGAAGGAAATTGCGCGTATTCTTTTAGAAGAATAAACGTGGTAAGATGGGAGATTGTTTCTTGTTGCGAATCTCGGAACAAGGTGGAGGTCTTTTGTTGTATTAGAAATGGAAATTTATAAAAGTGTTTCTACCGTTGGAGTGGAGAAAGATACGAAAGAAAAAAAATTAATGTCGACACCGATATAATAAAAACCTTGTTTGTGCTATCTCTGAAAAGCAATAAATTGGTAACACGATTGTAAATCTTGTATCTAGATTCAGAATAAATCAAAGGTTGAAGTTCGAACGAAAGCGCGTAACCTTCTGTTTCTAAAATTCCCATTCGATCGGTTTGATTTTAATCGTAATCGTAAATCAGAGCTATAGAGGATCGTGACAAAAGTGGGTTTAATATCGGGGAAGAAGCGATAAATACAAGGATCGCGTGAAAATCTGGAACGAGGATGTCAAGTGCAATGGTTTGGATTCCTATACCACGTTAAACGCGTTACTAAGACCGCAGCTCGCGCTACTTTCGTAGAACTAATATATATATATATGTTTGAGTTGTGGTTAGTTTATCCTGTATAGTATTTGTAATGTGAATGGCATCGAAGCAAACTCCGTGCGCACCTCCTCAGCTCGTATCGTGAATTTTCTTTCTTCTTTTACTTTTCTTTATCATCCATCATCGTGTAAAACGCACGTGAAAGTATCTTTCCAGAAGTGGCGCAAATTCTGTGAACTGCGATGGTCACACGTGACTTCTCGGTGTATTAACTTCCGGTCGTTGGAAAATTTGGCGGTAAATTTAATTTTCAACAGGGCGACAAACCGATGTCTGGTTCCAATTTAATTGCAAACGCATTGAATCACAGGTGAAATTCAATTTTCAACGAATCCCCAACGTTTAATTATAATTAGATAGGCTTCGTTTACGTTGCTTTTCTTTTTTCTTTTTTTTTTTTCATCCACCGTGAAAATTGCATTTCGTATGTTGTAATGAAGAAAATTCTGTCGTTGTTCCTTTTATGAAAAGATAATAATTCTACAAATATTTGTAAATAAATTTTAAGGATTGAAAGGACGAATGGATTAAAATTATGCGCAATCGTATTAAATTTTATTAAAAGTTTTCACAAAATTTATGAAAATTTCTTGTACAATTTTTTTTTTTATTCTTTTCAAATTATCGTATTACAATTTTTATCTGAATATTTCAAAAATAAGGACAATTTTCCAAAATTGTGATTTTTATAATATATATCTATTTTTAATCTTTAATTTTTATGGAAAGGAGAAGACAGATAGTTTTCTCAGTTAATATTTCCATTTGCGGTTCGTTTAAGAACAACGGCGATTTTTACCGTACAAAAAGAAAAAAGAAAAAATAAAAAAAGCAACATTAAAATGGATAGGGAAGGAGAAAAAAAAACGTTACAAGATCCACGATGCATTAAATCCTCGGCATTACGTGATTCGCGTTTGGAACACACGTTTCTTGTTCCGTTCTAAGATATCTTTCAGCCTTCGAACTGATCGAATAAACATTGGTAAAAAGTTTGTTTCCTTCGTGAGCAGTGGCGGAGGAGCCCGTTAAAAGGTATCCTGATAACATATTCATAACGAAACCCTCCTATAGATCTTCCTCGGGTTAGCTCCAACTCTCAATCCACTTTCTACACCGTAGCGGCCATTTATATTTAATGTATCTCCCTTTAAAGAAAGCATTAAGGTGGATGGTTTCCTATTTTCATCGTTTTACAAAATTATCCTTCGTGTCAGTTCGTGCACGCATACGTGTGTGTGTATATATATATATATTCTCTCCGGTTGAAATTTCATAAAATAATAATTGCATCGCGTTATGTTCATTTTTAGCATGCCATTTGTCATGGTTCGTGAGCGAAATTGTTACGAGCAAATAAAACAATGCGAAACTTTTAATTTATCCACCCTGTAAAATGCAAACAGCACGTGCGTATCCTGGCTGAAAAATATGCATCGTTGTGTAAACTTCGCTCAACCCTTTTCCCAATGATTTCAATAAAAAAACGTATATCACATTGCATCGTCGTTATAATTTAATGCAATTTTAATTTCGAATACAATTTGCTCTCCGCCCCCTTTCTTCCCAGAAATATTTTTGTAATTAAATTCAATACAAGTGTATGGGAAGTGATTATCACAAGAGAGAGAGAGAGAGAGAGGGGAAAGCTTACTCGTTTTCATCGACGCATGCCGAAAAGCATTTCTCTGTTCTTCTGAAAAAGAACAGAACGGTTCGATGATTGGTGATTTAAAAGAAATTTCAAACATCGTGTCATTCGAACATATATAATTTTAATTTATATCCAGAACAAATATACACATATAAGACAAAAATGTTTTTCGGCATACGAAACTGTGAAATCAAAAAATAAAATATCTTCGATGGAACCTAACTCTCCATCTCCGATTCATAATTTTAACATTAAATGCAATCCCAGCATCAAATACGATAATCGTTTCATCAATAATAATAACTCACATACACAAAATGCAAATATATATATATTGTTACGAAATGAATTATATAAAATCAAGCAAAATACGTATATAATAAATACGATAGTTTCCATTTTATACCGATGGGATTGCAGCCTTTATGACCTCCATTGTCGTCTTCCACCGATCAACTACGTATCGTCGTTGAAATCCCAAACACTCGGGATAGAGAAGGTTTCTGATTAATCAAACAGGAACGTTGAAATACTCCGATATCCGAATGTATGACTTTCTCGCACAGGTACGTGACATATGCGCTTGCACGAACGTACGTACACGCGCGCGCTCCGTGTATATGCAACCGTGTATGCTAACTAAGTAATACACACCGATACACACGAGCCGGTAATATAAACCGGGCTTAATGCCTCGCGGTTGGCGCGAAGTTTCACGAGGTTAAGTTATTCACATTCTGTAACCCCTCGGGATCCAGACAAGGGGTTGGCGCAGCAACGTCGGCCTGCTGAGAATTACCAGAACAAGAAGAAATTACAGTTTTCTGCATCGACGAATCTGTAGTAGGAACCACGGCAAAAAGTAATTGCAACGTGCACGCATCTCAAAATATTGGGACACGAATATAAAATGATGGAGCCATTTTTCTTTTTTTAAAGAAAAGATCATCGCGATTATGTATTCTCAGAGAGAATCGTCATATCGATCGACGATTTTGTAAGATTGGTAAGAGAATTTTTCTAACGCGTTATTCATCGGAGTAATCATTACGAGATATTAATTCTTAAATAAAGTAAGGAAACTTTATCGTGAAACAATACAAAGTTTGGAATTAGTTCGTGATTAATATAAAGGATCCGAACGACAATATTTTCGATCGAAATTCGAACTTTTAAAGTAGCTCCTCTCGGAACAAAGAGAAAGCCATATTTCTTCATCGTGTCCCCCTTTTACCGCGTTGAAATTTTCCTCGTGTATCGAGATAGTGTCCACAACAAGAGTTTCTCTCCAAGTTTTTCACGGGAAGGGAGAAGAATCCCACTTTGCGCAAAGTTTGTCGAAGGGTAGAGAAAAGTTGGAGAGGGGGATATCTACGCATTTCTTAATGTTCGAAATAATAATTTTGTGCCGGCGGTGTACGATAAATTACACGAAACTCGATTTCTCCCTCCCTCCCCTCCCGGAGAAGACTCGTCGTAACTCGTCGGCGAGTTCAATCTTCCGTCGAACGTACATCGCACACTCTCCTGATCCGAGGTAGGGATCCGTACCCCCCCCGCACGCATCAATTATTCGCGGCGGAACACGCGATTACGGGATACGTGGGTTCGAAAG